CCACTAGCTCTGGTCAGCCACTCAAATGGCCCACAGCCTGTGTGCGATCATGCCATTCCATTCCTGATAACCATTATTCCTCATTCCTACCCCTATCTGAGCAAGAAATCCTGTGGTCTCTCGATTTGAGCGCTGGTTAGTCAATGACGGGTAAGATCCACTGGGGGACAACCTAAGACAGGCACAGCTGCGTTCAGAGACCACATGGAAATGGGGTCAACAATGGTATGGCCAAGAATCATACCTCCCGTTGCTCAAAAGTAAATGAAAAGGGGGAAATGTGGTGGAATGAGAAGGCCATGCCAAGATGGCCACTGGCAAGCGAGCGTCAGTTACTCAGGAATGGCTTTGAAACCCACCTGGCAACAGAGCCTGCCTGGCAACAGGCTGTGATTGGATGGCTTCAGAGCCTGCCTGGCAACAGGCTGTGATTGGTTAGGGAATAAACCGCCCCTTGACCGGATTGGCTGTCTTGGCTATAAAAACTGTTGTAAGAACTGAAATAAACAAGTCTGTGGGCTGCTCACCTCTGGCCCGCTTTCACCCAACTCCCGGGGACTGTGTGGTGACTCCGTGCCTCTTGCCCCCACCACACTCCTCCTCTCAGAACAAACCCACAGCAACACATTAGCATTAGGACAAAGACACAGAGGAAAGCAACATGGGAGAGGTACCAATTGATCATATTAAATGCCTGCCAATACAGGATGTGAACATTCAGGTACCATTGAAAAATACTGAAAAATAAGAATATTTATCTGGCAAACTAAAGGCAAAGTCATTTTTTGAAAGTTTGGTTTGTTGCCACCTCCCATGGCATAGCTCAGGGAGGATAGGTGCCCCACATGAGAATTCAGTACCGAGTATGTCGATCCCATGTAAATTACAAAATTAATATTCTTACTTGCAATATCAAAATTCCCTTGGACTCTTGGCATGAGCCATTCCTATGGGTTGTGGGAGCTGCCTGAGTTCCTTGGCTGAATCATTCCTCAGACAAGGCCTTGAGGGAATTTGAGTCTTCTACCTTTGGAGGTGAGGACAGTCCCATTTCCAGTCACCTTTTCTTTTACATTGCAGGTGAAGGCTGGGTGGGTTATTCAAGTAGGAAAACTCCTTGCATCAATGTCCTGGCTTCCCATACCTAAACATCCACTTGTGTGCCCTTAAGTCTTAGCAGAATGATACCCCCTGGATTAACTGTGACATCACTAGGCACTAGTTATAGTGAGTGCAATGATTGGAGCCTACTTACTGGGCTGCTGTCCACCCTGGAGTAACACTTCCTCCACAGACTTGTATCTGTTTTTAAGCTCCTCAAATGTTATATCTAACATTTGGTCCATGGGACTCTGGGGTCCCAGGTCCAATTTCTAAATAATGGTAAATCATGGGAATTGATATAGAATTACATATAACTGAAAGTCTTCTCTTAACCTTGGAGGACAAAAGGAGGTTATGGTTCCTCATCAGCCCAGTTAAGACTTTAGGTGAGATCTAGCATCCAAGATTACCTTTTTTTAGAGGAAAATTGTTTGTTGGGTGGGGGAAGCCCACTGGGCTGGGGGAGAGGGCAAGAGGGTAAGAGAGAGGGGAAGAATGTAATATATATTAATATATATTATAATATATAATATTAATATATTTATATATAAATATATGTTTATATATATATAGAGAGAGAGAGAGAGAGAGAAATTTTCAGGAACAGGTCCTATTAAACCTTTGTCTGGGGGGCGGGCAGGAAAGTAGGAGCAGTGAATCCCATGGGGGAGCGGTAGAGCTGACACCTGTGGTTGGGCCATGTGATCACATGGCTTCCCAGCATTGGCAGTGGGGGATAGAGCCTAGGATAGTGTCTGGGGCATAGATTATGCCACAGATGAGACTGTTCCATTTTAATAATATCCCCCTTTTTGTTTTTTATAAAGCAAGAGTTTTCTGGGATTACATTAGCCCCAAAAGTCCAGGAGTGGTACAGGGATGATGATCTGTCTTTAGAGCTACTTCCTGTTAACATGGAGTGACGAGGTGCTCTCTGTTGGCATGGGGTGACTGTCTCCTGGGTGGGGAGCTGAATATATCCCTGTAGCAGCATTTGGTTGACTGCCTGGTTGGTGAAGGCTTTGGTTCATTCCATTATCATTTCCTGTAACACTTCAACAGATATGATAGTATAAAAGACAGGGTGAGAATAACAACCAACAATTCTAAGAGTAGCATTAACAAGTAATAGGATTTCATAGAGGAGAGGAAATGTGGGGAGGTCTCTGGACCCTTGTGAAGACTGTCTGATGGATGTGGTTTGAAGCTTATCCCAACCAAGACTGGGAGAAAGGCCACTCCTCTTTTGTGGGTAGAAGATTCTCTCTGTAGAGAAATTCTGAAGTCATACAACATTAAGTGGGGGAGAGGACCATCAGTGGACACAGTTCAGGGGTAGAGCCATTGATGTTAGAGACTGAGAATTACCAATGAATGTGGTCCCATGTGGGCTAGATAGGGTGTAGAACAAAGGACAGAATCAATATTGGAGGGCACCTAAGTAAGCTGCTGTCTAAACATGAATAAGTTTTCCAATGGAGGCCAAGAGAAGCTGACAGAATGGGCCTGATAATCTGCTGAGCTTTAAGGCCTTGCCATTTAGGAGTCCTAGGTCTATCTTTCTCTCCACATGGGGTATCTCTAAGGGAGGTGTGAGCCTCTGGCCAGGTGAATGCTGGTGGCATCTGTAAGAGGAACTTCACAGTTCTGCCTGCAATGTCACTGACCCTACTTAACCGTCCCCTCAGCAGTGGTGGTTACTTTGGAAGCTGGGCTGAATGAAAGACTTTTCAGTTTAGAGACAACAAGATCTGTGGCTCTGACCTGAAGTCCTTGGAATCTAGGGCAGTTCTGTTTGCAGTGATTCAACTCTTGGTTGGGAGAGCTCTTCATATGCTGACTTCTGCTGAAGCCCTGACTTTCCACATTGAAAGCCCCTGTAGTGGACTGACCTGTTGGGTCTCTTTGATGGCAGATCACTATACAGAGCAGCCTTAATCAGACTGCCACCTATCTTTACATTGCTACTGATGCCTAGCTTTCTTTACTTCCTGGATTCGTTAAAGCAGACCAGAGAAAGCAAGTCAAGGAGGTGCTCAAGTCCCAGTTAAGACTTGAGGTGAGATCTGGCATCCAAGATTGCCTTCTTGTACCCATGTTAGAGTTTCCCTGTATGTAGCTCTGTATCACAGACATTTCCAGGATTCTCTACAGATTGATCCACATATGTCATCTCCTCCCATATCTCCAATGCCCCTGTCCAGTGCTCTGGTTATTTCTGCAGCCTTTTTACCATAAATTCTAGGGCTTCTGGGACTCTAGGGGGCTCATTGCAACACCTACGACTCTTGGGCCTCTAGCAGGTTCTAATCCACATCCAGGTCTCTCTAGTTCCTGGTGCTGTAGCCTGTATCCAACCATCCTCAGACATTGGAGCTGAAACACACTTTCAGGTCTCCCAATACATTGGAGCTGTAACTCACATTGGAGGTTCAAGCTGGTGTGGAAATCTTGGGCATGAGAAACACCAAGCCAACACTGGCTAATAGCTACTGAGCCATGTACCAGGAATGGGTGTTCTTAGATGTATATTTATCTCTAAATATACAAAGTATATTTAGAGCTGCCTCCATGGACCTATAGACTACAGAGTGATTGACCTGCACTGATGGTGGAGCCAACATTCCACAGGAAATCTGTTGTGCCTGCGTTGTGATCTGGGCACTGGCACAATATTCTTAGAAGACAGCACACCATTGAGGCTTGAGCTGCTGGCTGAGAAGGCAAAAGAGGGTGGCAGTGTAATCAGCTCAGACACACCTCCAACTCAGGCACCACACCTGAAACCTGGGTGCTAGGACCTGCCTGTGGAAGACAAATGTTTAAATTCCATCTCAGGACTCTTGGGTGCTTCACCTCATTCTGTCGTCAGCCATTTTATCTCTTTCCATCCCAGGGGGAAATGCAAAGGAACAGTTACAGAAGCAGACTGAGGGCAGGAATAAAGGATTCAGGTCAGACAAATGAAGGTCAGCATATCTCTGCCTGGTCATTTTGCACAGGAAGGCCAGAAAGGACCGTGTTGTCTGAAGGAGAGTATCTGGGAACCTATCAGACCCATTCAAGCAGAAGTGAGGCTCGATTCAGAAGCCAATTTAGGTAGCATTGATGGGGCAGAATTAAGTCCTCATTTGAGATGCTGTCTTTCAAAGCAAGGCAATTGGAAAAAGATACTCCTGAGAGTGTAGAATGAGGGAGCAAAGACTTTGGGACAACATGAATGCTTCTGACTTGGGAAACTGAATGACTGCCCTGTTACTAAGTGGGGATGTTTGGAGCAACAGTGGGTATGGAAGAAGTTGCAGAATGAGCCTGAAATAAGCTGATAGGTGACACTTCAACAGGTCATCTCAGGTGGTTTGACGTGGGTCTGCAGTTCCACATAGGGACCACAGGTATTTAGTGGTTGTTGAAGTTCCAGGACTCTGGGAGTGCACAGTGACAGTGGAGAGTCCAGTGGGCTTCCAACCTACTAATGAAACTCCTCAGGGCTCAGAAAAAGGAAAAGGGTGAGGAAAATATTAGTTTATTAAAAAGAAACAAGAAGCAATTAAACACAACTTCACAAAATATGAAACTTTGAAAAACAGAATTATAAAATCTTCAGCTTTAACAATGCCCATTTTAGGCAACATGACTACATCTAACACGTTGCATTTCCATATGTCTAATATGTGTACTATGATGTGGCCTCAGGGGTTTCTGAAATATCCAGTGGCTGTGGTCAGAAGAGACATTTTGTCTTAATGAAATTGTAGTTCCAAGCATTCCTACTGCTCTGATTCCTTGCACAACACCTCATATGTTTGTGGAGAAAGTCCACTTGAGCCAACTGGGTCCCAGGCATTCTACTGTACCTTGGCACTGGCATCTCTCTGCCATGTCCGAGTAGTGGCCTCTCTGGGTAGCAGCATCCCATACTGTATCCAGGCAGTGTTATCCACATGGCACAACACTGCCCTTCTGGGTTCTGTGTTCCATTTCAAATGTTGACTCATGTGCACAGGCCCACAGGTTTTACCCTGCTACTGAAGCTGTTGGAGATACCATAAGAAAATGGTTTGCCATCATACTGCAGACTTAGCATGCAGAGGACTAATAATTTGCCCTCTGCTTGCCTTATACCCCTTGTGGCTGTACTTAAGGCCTTCTGCCATCTCTCAGCAGTGGCTTCACTTTGCTGTCTCTGGCCAGTGGCTTGTCAGTGCCATCTCTGGGTAACAGCATTACAAGCTATCCAGCCAATTGGCATCCCCATAGCACCACTGCCGTCTTGGCTCTCTCTCTGTCTTCAGACATTCAGCCATGTGTTCAGATTCTCAGCATTGATGCTGGCACTGAAGCTGCTTGAGCCATTGCCAGTAATGAGTTCACCATCCTGTGGCCAACCTAGGAAATAAATGGCTGATGAGTGTACTTCATATTGACCAATCATCTGAAAAGATTGTGGAGTGAGTCAGATACCTCTCCAACTTAAATGCCACAGACAAAACCTTCATGTTTCTGTCTCATGAACACAAAAATGCATTAATTTCCATTTAAATATTTAAGAGCAAGAAGTATATCTGAGCATCTCTGCATTATCTGGGAGAGTAGAGACAGGTTCATGATTGGTCAGCATGTAACTGGCTGAGCAAATATCTGACTGTTAACACCGTGTTCCCCTACTTACACCATTACACAAGCAATTACCATCCAGGAACATGAACAGAGGCCGACCCATATTGGCTGAATTACTGGCATCGTGGTCCTTTCCTGGGCGCCTTTTGTCCTAGCAAGGACAAAACTACCTCCTGCAGTCTTCACTATTTTGTAAGGCTAAGAGGGAAATACACTCTCATCCTACTGGGAAGCTGTATTAGCTGGAGAAAAACTGTCAAGACTGTGTTCCCTGCCAGTTGAGCTCTCCCTATCTCCAGGGACAGTGATAGAGCAGCCTTCATTATACATGGGCAGAGGGCTAGGGTGAGATTGAGGCTTACACATAATGAGGGGCTGGAATCTCCTAGACTCATTAGCTCTGGCTCCAGATCCATATTGTCATGATCCCCAGGGTACTGATAGGGACATTTGACCCAGGAGGTGATCTCAAAAAGTTTATGGAAAGAGGAATTAAAATATTAGTTTTGTTTGCACAAAATCATTCTGAAAACTCTGTTGTTTTTTCATGATACCTGCATTTTTCATAAAGTTTTGGAAAACTCATGGGCATGAATTCAATCATTTCTTTCCAGGGATATTTGAAATATGCTCATTTATGACCCCACAACTCATCTGTCCTACCATGCCTCTACTTTAGAAAGGCAGTTTGAAACTGGAATGAACCAAGACTTAGTAGTCAGATATTCCTTGTCCTTCTGCTACTAGCCACTCAGCTGCATTAACTCCTTTGGGCCTTACTTACCTTAAGATTTTAGGAGAATAGCCATCTTAATAGCATGACTGAGAAAGTAATAAAGGAATGTGGGTCAAGGGCTTGGCATCCAGCTCAGCATGTCTTTAATACAAGGTAGATGGCACTAGGGCGTGGCTCTGAAAATCCTCATCACTTGTGGCATCTCATTGCCCTAGCTAGGTGAATCTCCTCAAAATAACCACTTACTTTCTGTGTTTATGTTCTATTATCTGCCCTCTGCTCTTTCTCCTCCAAAGCACATTAGAGGTATCCTGCTCCGTGTTCTTTACCTTCTCTGTGACTTGTCCTCTTGTCAGCTCTGTGCTTACAGACCACATTCCATTGAGAAGTTACTTGTACATCTGGAGGCTCCTACAGTCTGGTCCATCTGGCAGGACTGAAAGTAAAGAACCTGTTCAGAGAAAGGACATCATTACTGATATCTATGGTTCTAAAAAGAACTAACAGATGGAGATGAAGATATACAGATATTAATAATATATCTAGGATCATGTCATTGTAGAAAGGGTCCTATAACTATCAGAGGTGACAGTACAGACTGTATGTCAGTCTTTATGTCAGTCTGCCATCATTTTGTATTCCCCTTACTCACCAGGCAAGGTTGCTGGGAATCCACTCCTGTCTGAATTGTGTCTGTACTGTGTTGGCCAGTAGAAAAGGTACAATCTCCAAGATAATATCTGAGAATATGCAGGTCTGGGCCAGGGTATGCACAATGAAGAAGAGAGTCCAGAGAACTAGAAAGAGGGTCTGAGAGGAGGAGTCCGTGCGCAGGCAGAGGAGAAGCAGGAACGGGCAGCAAGATGAACAGGGTGGGGAGTGGGTGACTTGGAGTCAACAGAGGCCAGGGTGCATTTGGAAGTCTTGGAGGTCTTGGGAATAGGAATGCAATTGTGGAAAGAGCATTTGGTCAGAGCAAGGAGACAGGCAGGGCAGACAGCTGGAGATTTCTTGTGCTGGAGGACAGGCTTAGGTTTGCCAGCATGAGGAGTGAGGTAAGGCAGGCAGGTTGGAAAATAAGAATCTGAAGAAGAAAGAGGGTGAGGCTTGGATTGACATGGGAAAATTGGAGGTAGCTTTTTCATCGTTTTGTGTGAAAATTCTGCTTGATACTCAGCTAGCTAAAGTGAGTCACAATGAGTAACTGGACACATTCCTAGGACTATGGCTACTTTTATCGCATACACTATCCCCCAGGTTATTGCATCACAGAATGACCATTATAACATGCTGCAAAAAGTGTCCCTACATGGACACTGGTGAGACTCCAATGTAAAGAAGTGATCATCAATGAAAGATTTACTCTTCTCTGAAGGGAGGAGAGAACTTCCACTTTGCTCATAGCTTTGTCTGAAAACTGATGTGTATTTGTGGGTTCAAGAGACTTCCACAGCCTAGACATCTCATGTCAAGAGCCTTGGTTGGGCCAGCGCTGTGGCTCACTCGGCTAATCCTCCACCTGCGGTGCTGGCACCCCGGGTTCTAGTCCCATATGGGGTGCCAGATTCTGTCCCGGTTGCTCCTCTTCCAGTCCAGCTCTCTGCTGTGGCCTGGGAGGGCAGTGGAGGATTGCCCAGGTGCCTGGGCCCTGCACTCACATGGGAGACCGGGGAGGGGGCACCTGGCTCCTGGCTTTGGATCAGCACAGCATGCCGGCCATGGTGGCCATTTGAGGGGTGAGCTAATGGAGAAAGGAAGGCCTTTCTCTCTGTCTCTCTCTCTCTCTCACTGTCTAACTCTGCCTGTTAAAAAAAAAAGTGCCTTGGGTGATCCCTGGTATCATACGTAAGAGTGTTACTTGTTAAATTAACAACAGGAGTCACTGTGTACTACCAACTCATGCAGAATCTATATCTCCAAAGAGTTGTATTATTAAGATTTACTTTTAGTGTATTGAATAGAGGATATTCTTATGTCTCTTAAGTTTTACTTACGTCTAAGTGTCCAACTCCATTTCTTGTAAGAGTTATTATCTTTAGGTGCTTCTTTAAAGTTAAGTTTCTTAAACATGGACTCTTGGATCCATATCTCCTGGTAATATTCCTGTCTTATATGCTTTAAGGTCAAATAAAATAAAATGGCAAAAGGTCTCCGAGCTATTAAAGAGAATCCAGATGCAGAGTGGTTTATTGATGGAAGTAGCTATATGAAGAAAGAATTAGAAAGGCAGGTTATGCTGTAATAGATCTTACCTAGGTAATAGAAGCTGAAACATTGCCAAGCAATAATTCAACTCAAAAGTCTTAACTTATTGCATTAACTAGAGGCTTGCAATTAGGAAAAGAAGTTAACATATACACAGATTCCAAATATGCTTTCCTTGTGTTATGTGCACATGCAGCTTGGACAGATACAGGCTTACTGACTGCAAAGAATTCCCCTGTTGAAAATGGAAAGAAGATATTAGCTCTACTTCAGGCAGTACTGGTGCCTTTGGAAGTAGCTGTCATTCACTCTAAGGGACATCAGAAGGAAGTCAACCATGTCAAGGGAAATGCACTAGCAGATGAGACAGCAAAAAAGGTGCTGCACAGGAATTCCTAGGAATGGCCCTCAGCCTGTAGCAATGACAAAGAACCTCACGATACCGGGTCTGAGATTGAATGGGCCCAACAACAGGATTATACTAAAGATGATAATTGATGGTGGACTTTGGATTGTAAGGTTATGCACCCAATGGCCTCTCAATGGAAAATTATTAAGGACATGCATGCATGACTCTACCCAATGGGAAGAGAAGCTTTAATGCAAATACTCTCTGAAGTGTTCAGAGGTAAGGGGATAAACGCTGACATAAGAGTAGTAGCTCATTTTTGCCCTATGTGTTTACAAAATAACTCTGGTGGTCATGTAAAGTCACCTCCTTTGCTGACTCCTGTGCAAATAAGAGAAACATATCCAGGTAAAGATTGGCAGATTGACTTCATTAATATATCTCCAGCAAATTATAAGTATCTTCTAGCTTTAATGATACTTTCAAAGGATAGGTAAAAGCCTTCCCAATTCGAAAAGAAAAGGCAAGGGAGATATCCAAAGCCTTGCTGAAGGATGCTGTGCCATGATTTGGACTCCTGCAGTCACTCCAGAGTGACAGTGAACCTTAATTTGTATTGAAAATAACTCAATAGGTAGTTGCTCCTCTAGCAATTTCTTAGCATCTTCATGCCTCTTGGAGACATGTAATTGGGTAAAGTTGAAAAGGCTAGTTTTAGTCTTAAGAAAATTCTAGCTAAGCTTTGCCAAGAGACTTCAGAATCAGGGCTTAAACTATTGCTTATTGCCCTTCTCAGGATGAGAATAACACCCAAGTCTGCCTTAAAGCTTAGTCCAGATCAGATGCTATATGGAAGGCTCTTCCTCACTTCTGCCATCCTCTTTGATTCAGAGGTTCAAGATCAGAAGGTTCAGTTCTCCCAGGGCCAGATCCTAAGACTCATGAGCAGCCTACTTCCCCAGAAGATTTAGTTTTATTAAAAACTTCGAGCCGGCGCCGTGGCTCAATAGGCTAATCCTCCACCTTGCGGCGCCGGCACACCGGGTTCTAGTCCCGGTTGGGGCGCCGGATTCTGTCCCGGTTGCCCCTCTTCCAGGCCAGCTCTCTGCTATGGCCAGGGAGTGCAGTGGAGGATGGCCCAGGTGCTTGGGCCCTGCACCCCATGGGAGACCAGGAAAAGCACCTGGCTCCTGGCTCCTGCCATCGGATCAGCGCGGTGCGCCAGCTGCAGCGGCGGCCATTGGAGGGTGAACCAACGGCAAAGGAAGACCTTTCTCTCTCTGTCTCTCTCTCTCACTGTCCACTCTGCCTGTCAAAAATAAAAAAAAATAAATAAAATAAATAAATAAATAAATAAATAAATAAAAACTTCGAAGGAAGGATCCTCTTCAGACCAGTTGCAACCTGAATGGAAGGGATATACCAGGTGCTACTGAGCAGGCCTACCTCAGTGAAATCACAGGGCATCCCAGCTTGTGTGCATTTGTCAGGGATTAAGCTTCACCTCTTGAGTCTTTGCAGGTGAACTCAAAAGACATGTCTGCTATTCCTGTGAGCCAAAGATCTGAAAGAGCTCTTCAAAAAGCAAAAAGATAAGTAAAGATTTTGCTTTCATCACATCAAGATTGCTTGCACTTTTAGTCAGATATGTTGTAGCTACATCTTCTTTTGATTCTTTCTAGAAGATGTTATTAGAAGAAAAACTCTGTAGTGGGTTTCTTCTATTATAATAAAAGATCCTGGTGAGCCACATGAAGATAATGTTAAAAACCTTACCATTGTATTAGGCAGTCTGGCTTACACTGCAGGCCAGCTTTTACAGCGAGTAGTTATGTCTGTGGATGGTCTGTCCATGGTAGTTATGGATGGTACACAGACCTTGGAATATATATTAATAGAATAAGGAGGAACATGTGCAGTGATTGATAGAATCTGCCACCTTTACTCAAACAGCTGTATGTTCACTGAGAGAGAGATTAAAAATAAATCTCTATGCTCAGGCTAAGTGGTTTTATAATCTGCGTAGGATAGCCTATCACTACCCACTACCTAGGAGTCTATAAAATATTTTCTTTCCATCTTAAAGAGTACTTCACTTGCAATTTGTTTTGTTTCAGTTTTGTTTATGCTCACTGATAAACTTGTATGTTTCAGAACTCAAAGACTTCTGAGAGTAATGATGACCGTGCAGGCGATGCAGCCATTGGCAGTGCCTGAAAATTCTCCAGCTCATGAAATGAATTCATTAGATGAGCTAGAAAGAGATTTCTGGACCCAGGACAGACAGGGCCTGCATCCCTGATCAGCAGGAAGTAGATATAGAAGATATGATAAGTCTACGTCCTTCAGCATCCCCTTAAGATTAAGGGTCTGGAATCTCTGAAGGGGGGAAAGATATGGGAATAATCAGGGAGACAGAATTAGGCTCATGAGCTGGCGGCCACACCCTCCTACCCCTATGGGATCTCACCTGTATTCACCCACCTGTCAGACTATGTAACCACTCCCCTTTTGGAAGTGGATAAAAGGCTGGAGCATGCTGAGCCAGCCCCACCGTTTTGCCAGTTCTCGTGCCTGCTCACTCACGCTACATGCCACTTTCCTACCCACGTGCCCTCCCTCATATCCAATGCTGCTTGAAAGAGAGCTAATATCTCTTTCCCATGTTAATTTTTTTTGTAGTCCATTGGCTTCCTTGCCTCCCAATTGCTGCATATGCATTTTGCACAAGGAAAACATTTGGAGTCCGTGGAAATATTGACTCTGGCATTTTTCCAGTTTAGGGCTCTAATTCACAATAAGCTCAGGCTTTTGAGCTGAATGCATTAGATGGTAATATCTGAGCTTTTGTCACCTGAGTGTTCTACTATGGGAGACACTGTGTTTTTAAGATTGTT